GTTCAGTGGTCTGCGTATCGCCCGCATGGACTGAGAAGTCCTGGTTGGATTCCCTGTCAAGGCACATGCCTAGGTTTCAGGCTCTATCCCCAGTAGGGGGCGTACAGGAGGCAGCGATTGATGTTTCTCTCACATCAATATTTCTCTCTCTCTCTCCCTCCCTCTCTCTCTCAAAAAAAAAATCAATAAAATATATTAAAATAAATAAAGTGAAAAGATAACATTTGTGTGCTCTGTGCTCAGGAAACCAGGAGGAACAGATTTGGCTGAGACCAGACTTCATGGGAAGATAAGACTGGAGAGAGAGGCAGAAGCCAAGCCTGGAGTACCAGGCTCCCACCACTTGCTGGGCAGGCAAGACCTGGAATCATCCTGACTTTATGAGGCTTCTTGTCATGTTTCTTAAGTTGGGGTGTGTTAGTGTCTACAGGGGAAAATCTTGAGCAATATTTATATCTATTCCTTTGTCTCCTCTTCAGGAAATCATACTTAGTGTCTACCTTTCATTCTTCCTGCTGGAGGTCAGTTGTGTTTGCTGCCCCAAAGCCAAGTTCCTTTCTTATCTCCCACACAACAAAAATGTACTGTGTTCTGGCACTTTGTATGAGTCATCTCACTTACCCTCATAGGATGGCTAAGAATTAAGATAACATATTTTGGAATCCAGCTAACCTGGGTTTGGGTCCCAGCTCTGTTTTGTTTTTTGTAATTCTCACCCAAGGATTTTCTATGTATCTTTAGCTAGAGGGGGGGGGGGGGAGAGGGAGGGAGGGAGGGAGAGAGAGAGAAACATCAATGTGAGAGAGACACATCAACTGATGCCTCCCATACAACTCCAACCAGCGCCCAGGACTGAACCGCAACCAAGGTACGTGCTCTTGACCAGAATCAAACCAGAGACTCCTCAGTCTGTGGGCCGACACTTAAACCACTGAGCCAAACCAGCAAGGGCCCAGCTCTGTCTTTTGGTAGTTGGGTGTCTTTGAGCAGGTCAGTTCACTGTTCTGTGCCTCTGTGTTCTCATCTGTCACATGGGAATAATGGCTATTCTTTCATACTCTCCACAGGGCACTAGTGAGAATAAAACACGTTTTATTTTTTTTAATTTACTTAATACAGTGCCCTGCACATTGTTAGTTCTCAATACAAGTTATTGTTATTCCATGTCCTAGGGGGAGGTGATCTCTGAAGGGACCACACTTCGTTTTTCCCTGAGTTGGGCTTGCTTGGTTCAACTGCGTATCTTCAGTAGCTAGCAGGGAATGGAGAGGGCTGGTCCTCTGAATTCCAGCTGGCTCATTGCCAGTCCCTGGCTCAGCCCGGCTCCTGCTAGGGCCTCTCCTCACTCACTGGTGCTGCGAGGCACCGGCCCAGCTCAACTTCCTGTCACACTTATCTTCTCCCGGCATGGGCTCTCTAGAGTGGGAAATGTCATCACTGGCTTCCTTCACTTCCCTTTGCTCGGTAGGACCCTCATTCTTTAGTTCTCAGTCAAATCTCAGCACAGTGGCCCTGTGCCCACTCTGCTCTGTGGTTACCTGCCCCTCGGCCACCCGGCAAAATGCAGCATAGGCTCTAGCTCCAAGTGCAGCATTTCTCTTCCCTACCCCCAAACCCGGGTGTAGAAGGGGAAGGTGAAACCCTTTAAGCTGCCCCCTCTCACCAGCTACTCTACCCCCAATGCTCTCTTTACTCTCCCTGTACCCAATCCCGTTCCCCCACCCTCTTTGAGTTCAAATCCCTGTTCTACACTCCCTCAGACAAGTTACTTAAACTTTCTGGGCTTTAACATGGAGAAAATGAGCTTCATGCTCTTTGCCCCAGAAGAATTTATAAAGGCCCAGCATGAATTTTGGGTATGTTTTATACTGTATATAACATAAATATTCAAGCATGTCAGATGTATGTATTCAAAAATGTATTAATGGATTGTGATCTTCCAACATTTTTGAGATTCTTTGTGGTGGTTCAAATTACAAACTTTGGCATCAGAGACATCTGGGTTCAAATTATAGCTTTTGCTGTGTGACTTTAGGTAAATCACTTACCCTCTCAGAACCTCAGTATCTTTATTAGTAAAATGAGGATGTTAATGAAACCCACTCCACAGGGCTGGCATATGGATAAAGTGAGATTATTTATGTAAAGAGTTTAACACTGTACTAGCCCATGATAAATGTTAGCTGTAATTATAATTGTTGTCTCTGCTATTTGCTAGTTGTCTCTGCTATTTGATTATTTGAATAACAATTGTTTTCTCTGCTAGTTGTTAACCTAAGCACCCTCCTCACACTCCAGGGTGCTTAGGATAACAACTCAGATAACAACAAAGTATGGTGCCTTCAGAGATCACCTCCCCCTTAGGACATGGAATAACAATAACTTGTATTGAAAATTTACAGTGTTCAAGAGGTTACTGTTGCCACCTCTGTCCATGACAGACCTTAGCTGGTGGGAAAGACCTCTCTGTAACTAGTTCTGTGGATGGTGGCATGGCCCCTCTTTAACTCCAGTGACCCAGGCCCTACCTCCATAGATAAAAGACTCACAATACTCAATTCCAAATTGGTTCAATCATATACTTTATCACCCTCTGTTCCAAAGCACCCTTCAAGCACTCAAGGGAGAAAAGGGGCAAAGCAAAAGGATGCACAAACTCACCCGGAATTAGATAAAGCAAAGTAAAACCAAAATTAGAGCCATTTTACACCCAACCGTCTGACAATGCCAAGAGTTAGCAGGGATTTGGAGCAAGGAAACGCTCATGCACTACTGGGAAAGTAAATTGGCCCAAACTTTTTGTAAAACAGTTTGGCAATATCTAGTAAAATTGAATTTGCAGATACCCCATGACTCAGCTATTCCACTCCCAATCTTTGCACCTACAAAGATTCTCCCACAAATGCACAAGAAAACACATACAAGAATGCTCATACCAGCACTGTTTGTAATAGCAAAAACCTAGGAAGAAAGTTTAATGTCTAACAACAGGAGAATGGGTAAGCTGTGGCATATTTATAAAATGGCATATTATAAAGCAGTGGATATTAATGGATCTACACATAATGGCAAAGATGAATTTTATTACTATGTCAGGTAAAAAAAAGCAAGTTACATAGGAATATGTGCACTTTAATACCATTTATAGAAAACTCAAAATATGCAAAATACTGCCCTGGCCGGTTTGGCTCAGCGGTTAGAGCATTGGCCTATGGTCCAGAGAGACCCGGGTTCGGTTCCCGCTAGGGGCATGTACCTCAGTTGCAGTTTGTCCCCGGCCCTGGTTGGGGTCCTGTGGGTGGCAGCCAGTCGATGTTTCCCTCTCTCTCTTCCCCCACCTCTCCTTCCCGCTCTGTCTGAAGATAAATGCAAAAATGTCCTCGGGTGAGGATAAAAAAAAAAAAAAAAAGGAAGTGGAATTATATATGTATTACTCGGACAGAAGTAAAAATGATAAATTAACAATAGATGGAATTATACTATATGTATTGTGCCACACTTATAATGATCTGCTACTCTCTTCTGCCACAATTTATTACTTAAACTTCTATTTGTAATGCAACAAGAGATATATGATCACATTCTAGATGCAAAATTTTCAAACAGTGTAAAGTGATAAAAAATCCTTCACAAAATAAAGTGAAAAAGCCTTTCACCACATTGCAACCCCTAACACATGCGCATGCGCTCTTGCTTGCTCTCTCTCTCTCTCTCTCAGGCCCCTCCCTAGAGGTAACCACTGCTGTGTTTCCTGTACATTCTTCCAGATTTACTTAGTCCCATAATGAAATAGGTTTAGTTGTTGTGTGTGTGGTATGTGGTGACACTTAAATGGTTCCAAACAAAATATAATGTCCTGTAACTCACTCTTGGATATTTGTGCACATCATAACTATCTCATGCAGTCATCCATCCGCTGACATTTTGTGTAATATTATCCAGGGCAAGGTAATGAACAAGACAGACAGACTATTCTCATGGAACTTACATTCTGGCAGGACAGTCAGACAGTAAACATGTAAATAAATAAGCAATATAATTTCAGGTAGTGCTAAATAATATAATGAAAACAAGATTGGGCAGGGAGGTTTTATTTTAACTGCATAGTATTCCACAGTATGAATGATCATACTTTGGAGAAATAACTTTCTCATTTGTCTACTTGCTTCCTACAGTAAAAAATAACATTTTACACTGCTATCCAAAACCCATCATAGAAACATACACACACAAAACTAAAACACACATATACAACCAAACAAATATTTCATGAAATAATGCATAACTTGATCAAGCATGATGCATTGGAATTTTTTATTCTGTTCTATTTCATTTTAATTGTTCACTAATAAGATTGTGATGTCAGTTTGAAAATGATTGCTTTAAGTAACCAATCTATTGAGATTTAGATTGGTCATAATTCTCTCCTATTACAAATAAATGAGCTGCTCTATACTCATTTTGTGACTATTTCTAAGTGTAAAATCCCTGATTGTGTAATTACTATTTCCTTCTAATTCTTATTTAAAAGGCATGCAGAAAAATTGTATTCTAATCCCTGATCTGTGACCACCATGAGGCATAAACTTTGGGCAAGTCCCTGAACCTCTCTGGGTCTCGATTTCCCCAATAGAAACCTGCTGGTCCCTACACCCTATAGTCTGCTGTAAATTGAAAATAGATGCCCCACCCCCTGACTCAGGGAGGGCAGGATGTCTCTTGAAGCCCCTGCTCCCCCTTTTCCGCTGCTCCCTGTTCCTCAGAAGCAGCTCTGAGAAAAGGGAAAAGGCAGGTCAGGGCAAGAGGGTGTGATGCAGGGCGGGCTGTGGGCGGGCAAGAGCGAGGCCGGCCCCCTAGTAGGAAATGAGACACGGTAGGAATAACACTTTATAAGCCTGACGCCCTCTTCCTCCTCCCCACCCTGGCCACCTTCCAGCCTCCTCCCCTCCCCGGCAGTCCTCGCTTCTCGTTCCCCCAGGCTGCAGTCAGTGGGAGCCCCCAGTCTGCCAGAGCCAGGAGCCAGGTGGAGTGAAGAATCTCAGCACCAGGATGTTGACAACACTGCTGCCACCGCTGCTTTTCCTGCTCCTGCCCAGCAGGACCCTTTGCAGCCAGAAAGCCTCAGATGGTGAGTCAGGGGCACATCTCCTGCCTCAGGATGGTTCTGGAGACTCCCAGCCTGTCTGGGTATGTGGACAAGATCAGAGGAGAGTTTATCCACAGTGCCTGTGTTGTAGCGGGCTGGATCTCTCTATAGGGCAGGCAGGGTCCTGGGGCTGGGTGTGTCCCAAAGCCAGGTGAGAAAGGACAATGTGGCCCATGGGAAGGGGAGATGGAGGAGGCTGTGGCAGGGACAACACTGGAAAGATGGGAAAGGGATGGATAGAAGCGGTGAGGGAATTAGCTTTAGGGAGAGGAGAGAGTCTGTAGAGGGAAAGCTGAGGGTGATGGTGGATGGGGGTGAATCTAGGGAAGATGGGAAGACACCCGGAGATGAAATGCGATGAGAGATGGAAGGACTGGAGAACTGAGGGAAGACTTGGGGAAAGACGGGCTGAGATATGTGAGGCAGAAAAGTAGAATAGAGACGGTGGAGGAAGACTAGGAGCAGCTGATGAGGTGAAGCTAGGGGAAAGAGAAGAGGGGGTCAGTGGGAGAACTCACAAGAGATCAGGCTGCCAGAAGCGGCTCCATTTAAGCACAGAGGGGAGTTATTGCCCTCGATGTAATTGCACAGGGGCCTCCTCTCCCTTATTCCACAATCTCTATAGCTTTAGTCTCTTCCTTTAGAGGGAGTGAATAATAACCCGAATTCAGCCAGTGCTCACTATCGTTAATGAATATGTTGACTTATTTAACCTCCACAAAATCTCTACAAGGTATGTACTATTACCTCCATTTCACAGAGGAGGAGACTGGGGCACACAGCTGTTCAGAACCTGTCTAGGGCCCTGGCCGGTTTGGCTTAGCAGTTGGAATGTCGGCCTGCGGTCCAGGGAGACCGGGGTTTGGTTTCCGCTAGGGGCACGACCTCGGTTGCAGTTTGTCCCCACCCCAGTTGGGGTCGTGTGGGTGGCAACCAGTGGATGTGTCTCTCTCACATTGATGTTTCTCTCTCTCTCTCTCTGTCTCTCTCTGTCTAGGATTACCCACACAGAAGTACTTATTTACACCTGCAGACACAGAGCACTTACCAAATGCAAATGTGGTCACAAGACGCCCACACACACACATAGATTTGCAACCCCAGACTCATTCCCTCTCATTCTCTGGGCACCAGCTCTGTGCCAGGCCTTTACTAGATGTGGGAGGCAGAGATAACCAGATATGATTCTGTAGCCTAGAGGAGCCCAGTGTAGCCTGTGTGTTTGCAGACAGTTATGTGAATTTGAGATCATTGAAACAGGTCCACTGTACTGTGTCTGGGAGGGTAAGGAGAAGAGACATCAGGAAAACTTCCCCAAGGAGAGAACAACCAAGCTGGAATAGCTTGAATAGAAGTTTGCCAGGAGGGAGGGCAACTCTGATATGCTATTTACATGTCAGTCAAAAGGCAGCAAGAGGAATTTGATATAGCTAAGCACTGGAAAGAGACTGAAAAAGGCAGCAGGGGCCTGGTCCCCTTGAATGCCATGCTAAAAACTTTGGACTTGATCTGTGGATAGATATCCTACAAGGAGTCAGTGTAGCTGGCTGGCTAAGAGTGCTAGACTCGAACTGCTTGCATTCAAACCTTGGTTCTGCTATACCATTTTAGCCTGTTTCCCTTATGGACTGGGGTTAATAATAGTAGCTACTGCGTTAAGTTAATGGGAGGAAGGCACAAATAACAATAATGTGTGTGAAGTACAGTGCCCAGGTCATAATAAGCCCGATAACTGTTATTATTGTGGTTATTATCATTGATAGGGAAGTGTGTCGTTGGAAGATTTTAAGTAGAAGGGCATAATCTTATTTCTGGGTCCGGTGGAGATCAGATTAAAAGGGGTGAAACTGGAAAATGAGGGGCAGGGGCATGAGGAAAGAAGTTTCTACCGCAATCCTGACGAGAACCCATGAGGCCTGATAGAGCAGTAGCTGAGGAGTCAGAGTTGGGATTTTTATTGTAGGTTGGGAATTGTTGACCGAATCGTAGGGAGGGAGGGGTGGGAGAAAGGAGAGCAGAGGGGCTCTTCCACTGACTGTCTGGATTACTCGGGGCAAGTGGCTTCTCCTCTCTGGCCTCAATTTCCTCATTTGTAAAATGAATATAATAGCCCTGGCCAGTGTGGCAAAGGGGTTGGAGCGTCCACCCACACATCGAGGGGTCATGGGTTTGATTCCAGGTTGGGGGTGCGGGCCTGGGGTGCAGGTTCAATCCCCCAGCCAGTCCCCATCACAGGCTCCTGCAAGAGGCAGCCAGTCTCTCTCCTCTCTTCTCTCTCTCTCTCTCTCTCTCTCTCTCTCTCTCCCCCCCCCTCCTCCCTTCCACTCTCTCTAAAAATCAATGGAGAAAATATCCTCGAGTGAGGATTAACAAAAAGAAAAGAAGATAATAATCCCTGTCCTACCCCTCCTGGCAGGGTTACTGTGAGCATTAAGTCGGAGGAAGGGTGGGAGGACACTTTATAGTTATGAAGGGCCCTGAAGGTGGGCGGTCAGCCTCTGGGTAGGGGGTTATTATCTCCAGCTACATGCTGACCCATCCCACGCCAGCCAGTCAGGGACCAACGCGCTGATTTCTGTCCCCAGGCCCTCAGAACCTCCACATGCTCCAGATCTCCTACTTCCCAGAGCCCGGTCAAGTGTTATACCAAGGCAACGCGTCGCTGGGGGGGCTGCTGACGCACGTGCTGGAAGGCCGGGACTCCAATATCACAATCCTCCAGCTGCATGCCTTGCAGGAGCCCCAGAGCTGGGAGCGCACAGAGAGAAGTGTGCAGCTCTACCTGGAACAGTTCTCCGGCTTCGTGCAGCAAGTACATCTGGAGCGGGGCTTGGCCTGTGAGTGGCTCACTCGTGGGGGGCGTGGCTTGTAGCCGGGCAGGGCCTTATATAAGGAACTTTTCCGAGAAGGGTGTTGTGGACCGGGGTGACACCATGGGCGTGGTCTTGTGTGGGCGGAGGGCTCTCAGGAGCCCAGTGGTGCCCAGGGACTGGCATTTGCTGGTTGCTGGAGAGGAGCCCCTGTCTTAGCCTATGGGCCTTCCGTCAGGCCCTTTTACTGCTGGCATATCTCCAGGTAGACCTACCCTGAACCGGGAAAGTTCATGTCCTCCTATTGGACATCCCCCACATCTGGCACCCTTTCCATACAGCCCATTGACCCTGAACTCCCATCCACAGTTCCTCTGACCATTCGCTGCTTCCTGGGCTGTGACCTGCCTTCTGAGGGCTCTAGAGCCCACACCTTCTTTGAAGTGTCTGTGAATGGGAGCTCTTTTGTGAGTTTCCAGCCAGAGACCGCCTCATGGGTGTCAGTCCGTGGACCGCATCAGGTCCACTCCAGAGTGATCAACTACGTCATGAAGCAGCTCAACACCTACAATCGTACTCGGTATGAACTGCAGGATTTCCTGCAGAACACCTGTGTGCAGTACGTGAAGGAACACTCCATGATAAATATGAAAGGTATGATGAGATTGGAGATGGGCCTGTGTGTTGGGTGGGTTCCAGGCAAATGAATAGACCTGAAGGATGGATACTTTGAGCAACAGGAGGCCCAGGGCGGGGGGGGGGGGGGGGAGTAGTGGGGGGGGGGTTGGGACAGAGTAAACACAGTTTAAGTCACTTCGTGCACTAGTTCCCTACCTTTGAGACAGAAATCTTTTGGGGTTTGACTCAAACCATGGATTCCTTGGGAGTATGTTCTTCAGCCTAACTTTCTGCACGTTCTCCAGGGAGCCAAACAGGTCGCTCCTACACTCCACTGATCCTGGGCATCCTGGTGGGCAGTTTCATCATCGCTGCTGTGGCCGTAGGCATCTTCCTGTGCACAGGCGGACATCAGTGTTAATTGCTCTCCAGTCCCCTCTGGAAAAGGGCTGGACTCATGGGGGGCTGATAAGGGAAGATCTCTTCTCACCAAAAAAACAAATAGATTCCCCCCATCTGGGACATTATATCCCAGAAGGTTTGGAGTGGCAGCTTTCTTCTCCCAGATCTGCCCACCAAGAGCTTGGGCAAGCAGAGGGGGAGAAGGCTAGGTTGACAGAGTACTTAGTTTACTAAGAACCCAAGAACTTGCATGCTTCGCTGCACTGGTCTGAGAAGTGAATGCTTGTCTATCTTTGTGTAAAAGAGATGATGGAGTTGTGGTAGTGGTGGTGGGGTCTATGGCCCATCCTCCAAAGACAGGCAGAATCACATAACCAAATAAAACAAGTCATCACAACCAAAATAAATAACATTCAATGTTTCCAGGTGTGTCAGACATAGGAAGAGACAATGGTATGAAGGAGGTAGAAAGAAATAACCAGAGAAATGGTGGAAGTGTAAACTCCAAGTAATATGGGAGCAAGGAGTTATTAATTAATCAATAATATTAATAAGTTCCTTACTTATGTATAAGGCATTATTATTTCCTCTACTTTGAAAAACTTCTAGAAAAGTAGCCTATACCCTTTGCTTTTACTTCCTTATCCCCCATGCACTCTTCAACCACTGCAGTCTGACATCTCTATAAAGTGCTCCAAGATCATCAATGACCTCTACTTGTGGAGACTTCATCCTCCACAATATCTGCACATTTCACTTTGTGGACTAGAACTTTTTTTACCCAACATCTGAGATACCATACTTCTAATTTTCAGAAACCATTCAATCCCTTTGCCTATGTCACCTTATTCCATGCACCTTGGAAATTTTAGCTTCCTTAGAATTCCTTTTTCTTTCTTTCTTTCTTTTTTATTTTTTACTTAAATTTATTTTTATTGTTGAATGTATTACAGATGTCCCTTCTTTTTTTCCCCATAGAATTCCATTTTTGAGCTCCTTTTGTTCCCCTTTAAACTATAACTTTCTAGGTGACCTACTAACTTCCATGGCTTCAAATACCATCTATCTGTGGTGATTCCTATGGGGAGCAAGATAATCTTGTCTTTGAGAGCGTGTGTTTTGTCGTCAGACAGATTTGAGTTTTACTTCTTTGAGAAAGGCATTTTAACGTCTTCAAGTCTCAGTTTCTTCAGAAACAATAGGTATGATAAAATATACAAAAAAGCTATAATAAAAACAATACCTATCTCATAGAAGTATTATGTATATTAAATAAGAATATATATAATAGATGTATACTCAAATACAGAGTGGGGCAAAAGTAAGTTGACAGTTATGAGTATGTGAAACAGAGTTTATTCTTGTATTTTTATTTATTAATTATTGTATTATTTTCCATATGAACAAATGTAAACCTAATTCTGCCCCACCCTGTATAGCACTTGCTTTTGACCTCCAGACGTCCCCATATGCATTGATTCTTGAATATCATCTCCACCATAAAATTTTGCAGGCATTTTAGAGGCAACATGTTCAAAATAAACTTTGTATCTTTCTCCCCAAACCTGTTCTTTTTCTTCTGTTGTTTACTATCAGCTAAACAAAATTACCATCAAATCCTATCACTGCTGCCCTGGCCAGTTTGGCTCAGTGGTTAGAGCATTGGCCTGCGGTCTGGAGAGACCCAGGTTCGGTTCCCGCTAAGGGCACGTACCGCGGTTGCAGTTTGTCCCTGGCCCTGGTTGGGTCGTGTGGGTGGCAACCACTCGATGTGTCCCTTTCATGTCAATGTTTCTCTCTCTCTCTCTCTCTCTCCCACTCTATCTGAACAAAATATCAAAAAATGTCCTCAGGTGAGGATTAAAAAAAAATTTTTTTAAAAAATCATATCACTGCAAAGACCTTACTGTTAACCTTTACTTACTCCCTCTTCATCCCCCATCTACAAAATACAATATCCATAGCATCCATTTCCTCCTTCCCACTCCATTGCCTTTGTTCCAGATGTCATAATTCATCTCTTTCTTTGTGGTAGGCATGGAGGTGTGCTACCCAGTTCTACCTTCAAGGAAAAACTTGCTGTGTAGCTACAGGGAGCATAGCCAGCAGATAGCCTCTTACTGCTTCAGTTCCTTCAGGATCTGCCTCACCTACAGAAGACAGTCCTACACAAGGTCATGCTCATCCTGGGGCCATCCTCATCTGATGACTGAGCAAAGCAGGGGTATAAAGGATTGACTGCAGGACAATTCTGATAAGCAGTATTCACTCCAGAGCTCCTGGCCAGGTTGGCTGGGTCTATGTCTGATCTACATTGCAGTTTAACTCTTCCCTCTATTCAATCCTGCTTCCTCCCCATAGTTAACATATTGCACCTCAAACTCTGTCTCAGCATCTGCTTCCCAAAAAACCCCAACTCGTGACTGACAACCTCACTCTGTCTCAAAATTGAGAAATTTTCTTAATCTTTTGTCTGGACCATGGCAGTAGCCTTCTCCTAATTGTTCTCCTGGTCTCTAATTTGTCTGAGTTCTGCTTCATCCTCTACACAACAATAAAAAACATAGACTTGATCATATCATTGTCCTGTTTCATTAATTTCCCATATTTATTGAACTAAACTCAGAATATTCAAAATGATATTTAAGGATTTGTACAATCTGGCTCCATCCTAATTTTCAAATTTTTTTGCCTACCACTTCTTTTTGCCCAAATGTGCTTTAGGTTATCGATTTTAAAAGTTTATTTATTTATTTATTTATTTATTTATTTATTTATTTATTTATATTTTAATCCTCACCTGAGGATATTTTTCTATTTATCTACAGATAGAGTGGGAGGAAGGGAGAGAGAGGCAGAGAGAGAAAAACATCGATGTGAGAGGGACACATCAACTGGTTGCCTCCTGCATGACCCCGACCAGGGCTGGGGATGCACTGCAACTGTAGTATGTGCCCTTGACCAGAATTGAACTTCAGACTCTTTGGTCTGTGGGCCAATTCTCTAACCGCTGTGCCAAACTGGTCAGGGCTTCAAAGTATATTTTTAAATGACAGAAGTAATACCATAACAGTAGCAATACAGAAGTTTACAAAGAGAATGAATGACCCCTGCTTTCTCCTTCTTCCTAAATCCTAACCTCAAAGTTATGGCAAGGTTCCTAGCTGTGAGCAATCGAAACCAACTCTGCCAACTGAAGGGGGAAATCTATATTTTTGAAGGTTATCCAGTAACCTTGATGGATCAAGCTCAGAAAATAGAACCAGGGATCACAGTCAAAGTCACAACACAGGAATGTGCTAGGTAAAGAATACCACAGCTGGAACCACTACCTCCACACCACTGTAGGCTGCCATCTCAAATGAATTTCACTCTGTCCCAGTGTCTTTACACTCTTTCTTCAAGATTCAAAGTCCTGATGGGAGCATTCAAATGACCAAGCCTATATCATTTTGCCTTTGCTGCAAGATGGGTGGGGAGGGAAACTTTAGGTATCTTAGCTTCTCTTGTGGGATGTGGGATCTTGTAAGAGAGGCATTCTCCTTGTGTTAGATGAGAAAACATGCTTAGCAAGGATAGTAAACAAAGTCAAGCAAGTAAACAAGGTAAATGGCAGAGCCGGTATTCAAACCCATGCCTTTGTATTCTAGAAATTTATGCTTTTTCTCCTCTATTAAAACTAAGGGAATCGGAGGAATCTGGCAGCGGGGTGGAGGTGGGGGGAAAGTGGGATTTGTGGGTGAGTAAGATATGATCATCCACAGAGAAGAAACATGGACAGAATAGCTTAAATGATGGCATAGAGTGAGAAAAAGGCAGAGTAAATTTTAGGAAGGAAAACTAGCCCATTCTGATTGGAAAATAGAATGGTAGAAAATGAGACTGGAATGGTAGGCTGGGGTTTCATTGTATTGGGCCTCTAAAACCTGGTGAAGGAGTGTGTTCTTTAGATGGTTAAAAAACAAAACGAATAAACAAAAACACTGGGGAATTATTGAAGGTTGGTGGACAGGAAGTAGCAGAATATCATCCCCATTTATCAATGCTGCCACCGCAGTAGCACAGGCCCTCACCAGCTCTAACCTAGATTACTAAAGTCAGATCTTCCTTGCTCTAATAGCCTCAACTATTGCCATCAGAATGCTCTTTCTAAAACATGCCAGTCTTCTGTCCAGAATTATTTAGTTCTTCTACTGTTCATAGGAGTTAAGACCCTCCATGATCTAGCGCCTAGCTATATTTTCTCTAGCTTCATCTTCAGCCCCTCTTAGTCCATTCAGGTTGATATGACAAAATTATCATAGAGTGGGCCACTTAAACAACAAACATTTATTTCTTAGATCTGGAGACTGGGAAGTCCAAGATCAAGGTACTGGCATATTTGGTATTTGGTGAGTGCCTGCTCTTTGGTTCATAGGTGTCCACCTTGAACAGGAAAGAACTCACTGGAGTCTCTTTTGTAAGGGTACAAATTCCATTCGTGAGCCCTCTACCTTCAAGGTGATTACCTTCCAAAGTCCCCAACTCCAAATACCAACACATTGAGGATTAGGTTTCAACATATGAATGGGGGTAGGGTGGGGCACAAACACTCCTCTCTCGATCTACCTTCTAGTCCCTCTAAATCACTCTTGTTTTCTCAAACACACTCTGTCCTTTCTGGTCATGCCATTTCATATCATATTCTTTTCTCTAGTTGGCAAACTCCTATTCATCTTTGAAACTGAGCTCAAATGTCATCTCTGCTGTGAAGCCATTCATGATTCTCCTATACATAGCATTTGTTAAAATTCAATACCTTGCCCTGGCCACTTTGGCTCAGCTGTTAGAGTGTCAGCCTGCAGACCAAAGGGTCTCAGGTTTAATTTCTGGTCAAGAGCACATACCTACCTGGGTTGCAGGTTTGATCCCCGGTCCTGGTCAGGGTCGTGCAGGTGGCAACAAATCAATGTCTTTCTCTCACATCGATGTTTCTCTCTCTCTCTTTCTCTCCCCTCCCTTTTCTCCCTCCCACCCACTCTTTCTAAAAAGCAATGAAAAAATATTCTTGGTGAGGATTAACAAAACAAAACAAAACAAAACAAAACAAAACACCAGTACCATGTCATGATAAAATCACTCAACAAATTAGGAATAGCAGGGAACTTATTCAACCTGATAAAGGTTATCTTTTTTTATTTTTTAAGTCCTTACCCAAGGATTTTTTCCATTGATTTTTTTCATATAGAGTGGGAGAGAGGGAGAGAGCGAGCAAGAGAAAGGGAGAAACATTGACATACGAGAGACACATTGATCAGTTGCCTCCCACATGACTCCGACTGGGGCTGAGGATTGAACCTGCAACTGACATACATGACCTTGACTGAGAATCAAACTCGCAACTCTTTGGTCCATGGGCTGACGTTCTAACCCCTGAGCCAAACCAGCCAGGGATAAAAGGTTATCTATTTTTTTTTAAACCCACAGCTAACATCATACTTAAGAATAAAAGACTGAAACTGTCTCCCTAAAATCAGAAACAACATAAGAATTTCTATTCTTACTACTTCTATTCAACATTATATTTGAGATTCCAGCCTAAGCAATGATGCAAGAAAAAGAAATAAAATGCATCTGGATTGAAACGGAAGAAGTAAGAGTATATCTATTTAGAAATTACATGATCTTATATGTAGAAAATCCTAAAGAATCTACAAAAAAAGCTATTAAATCTAATCAATAAGTTTAGCAAGGTTTCAGGATACAAGATCAATATTTAAAAATCAATTGTATGCCTATGCACTAGCAATGAACAATTCAATAATGAAATTAACATGAAACAGAATAAAATGCTTAAGAATAAATTTAACAAAAGAGCCATAAGATGTGTAC